CAATAAGAGGAGCTGTATAGCATCTGGACCACCCCACATGAATCCATACTCCCCATGGGAGCCATTAGTCCAAACCAGGAGCCACCAGGGGAGCTCTTTGTCGTCTTCCTGAAGATCGTGACAGTGGTCCTGTGGAACACGGAGGCCCTTCATGGTTCTCTCTCTCCATCCAAAGAATGGAGACCTCACGCGTAACACCTCAATCACTGACCCTGCCGATTCTGGTGATGGTTTCTGCCGCATTTCTCACCAAACGCATGCTCAAATACATTTACAATAGGAGGGTGAACATGCGCTGAAGAAGTTTCCGGCATTTAGTTGTGATTATGCGGGGGATTCTAATGCTACCAGCTGTTAAATGCACTGACACGTCCCTCAGTCAGACATGCCGCCCCCCCCTTATTCCCTGTGCTGTTTTTCCATAAACACAACTCTTGAATACTGTGATTTTCTTATCAAAAATGCCCCCAGTCAGATTGGGAATTACCTTACTTGGTATAATCAGCCCAGCAAACCCAGCTCCCCAATCCTGACCTCTAACAGAAAGAGACTGGTGCTGTGTGTTTCTATTTGACCAGGAAGAAATTGATGGGAAATGAGAATATCAAGGCCGATTCTTGGGAAACAATACTTGTAATTAACCGTCATACCAATAATCAAATGTATGTTCCCCTTCTCATAACTCTTATTGAGACAATGGGCATCCGTGCTAGCAGTTAGTCATACATCCATACCGTCCATAAACAGTATCTGGGTATGTAGGAAGTGCACCTACCTGTGGCTGCCAACAGATTAGCAAAGTGCTTCTTATCTGTCCCGTTATATAGCATGTGAGGGCCATGCCGTGCCTACCCTAGGGCATCTCCCCAACACGGGACAATCTGCTCATGGAGACACTGACTGTAACCACGTCCAGGACATTGGACTCTGCCACCCCGGGCTGCACGGCATGGTTAGTTTCCATTGAATCACTAGGAAAATTCGGCTACAACCATAAATTCATGCATAAATTCGTCTGTATTTGTAAGATTGGCTTGGAGTTTATATGCTTCCACAACAAAGTGCAGAGTGCACCAGACTACAAGCAAAACTCATTCGCTTCTGTAAGCGTGAAGACAAAGTAGATTAATTTTTTAAAAATTAAAATTTTAAAAGTAAAACCCCCCTGCCCACATCACACACCGCAACATGTAGTTCATTTAGTAACATAATTCAAAAGAGGCAATTTAACTTGTCTTAGAATTTCTTATGCTGACTTACTGTCTATGCCTCAATTACCTTACCAGAACGTTTATTACACCCATCCTGCTATAGATCATGTGTTACCTCCTGCTTAATAGTCCATTTTAAATCCATGCAAATATACTACCTTGGATTCTAGCTCCACCAAATTAATCTTTAAAGACCAAGTAAATGAGCTTGCAGGCAACAGAGTTACCACTGTGACACACTAATTAATAATTAATCCATCCTTCTTCAATCCTCTTTTGTGGGTCAGGGTCTATCCCAGCCATGCAGTTGGAGTACAAACTGGACTGGGTGCCAGTCCTTCACAGAACGTACCAGTACAATCACGCATAAGAGACATCAATTAGCCTAAGTGCATGCTTTTGGACTGCAGGACAAAACTCAGCGGAAATGTGTCACCTCTAATGTAATTAATATTTTGAGCAATTTAATAATTATTCAATAGTGATTTGATTCACAACTGCAAATACATTCATAAATTATCATGGCAAGGTCAGTGGATCTACACCAATCGATTCCATTTACTAACTCGTGTATCTAGGAATTCAAATGTAGCCATTGTTATCAACTTTAATAACCTAATGCGAAAGATCAGAGTTGACCTTGATCGATGACGCTCCTTGAAGTCCTCCCTCGAGGCCAGAATCTCCGCTGTGAGAATACATGTTCTTCCTTGACTTAATTTCCTACTTTTTTTGTTCCTTTTTTTTAACGTCCTAAATATATTGAAGTCAATTCCCTAATATCCATGTTTATATGGAGTAGGAAGCCTGCCAGAATATAGTGGATTACACTGCAGCACCAAAAGCGATCAGGAGGCCATTTCCTGCCAAACGTAAAGCTCTACTACGTATCTATTCAGATCACTTTGGGGACTTGCTAAAAAAGCAACCTTAGAGCCTAACATGCATAATCTTTAAATCAAATCAAATCACCTCACACTTGATAGAGTACAGATGAGTGGAAGAACTTGTGTGAAAACACACCGTTTATGGCACAAGTTAAACCTCCTTTCTGGGGGTGATCATTCATATGTCCTCCCTGGAGAGATACAGGTACATTTCGTCTTAAACGTGCACTCATTGACAGATTTATTAGTAGCTCATTAAAACATATTTTTTAGTAGTGATACATTCCATCACACCATCTGTGAGTCATCAAGCTAATTGTAGGTCGCCTCCTCAGTATTCTGCTGACTGGAAGCTCAGCTTGTTGTTTGCTATATCCATGGCAGTAACTGGGGCCAACCCTAGGTCTTCTTCCTCCCTCCCTCCCCTACACAGGGCAGCAGAGAACAAATTTTGTCAATTAATTTATATTAAAAACACTTCAGCAGCATAGGGTATCTGGCTGCTAACTAGCTATAGCTGGCGATGCACAAGAAAAGTGATTTAGTATTAAAATTAGTGTAAATAACTGTAATGTCACGGAATGCAGACAGAGGTATTTCTTTTGATTTTTCTCAGTCGCTGTTTTGCGTCCCATAATTAAACGCCGCCTTAGGCGATCACCTATACAGCGTATAGGGCAGACTGGCCTGAGCACGACTCAGCTGATGTCTGACCCCAGATACATGGCATCTGTACGACAGCATGCAGTTTCACCAGCAGCCTTTTGTACGACAGACTAAGCTCAGTCTGGATTCAAACACATAGTCAGTCAGTCAAATGTGGAACAAATATCATTCATACAAATTTAAGAGTGTATGAATTTTTTGAAAATACACGCCATAAAAGCAAAAAATGTGACATCTAGAAAATCTATGGATCTTGAAATTTAGTTGAATTATATATTTTTGTGTAGTTCATTATGGTCACATATATATTTGGTTGCGGCTGAAGAGAAATGCACACTCTGTGATGTTAAGCTGCAGTACCTCCAGCATCTAAATCACATTACTCTGCTTATTCAAAGAACAGGAATCACTCGGTGATCACTCACTCAATTTTGTTTATTCAGAGAGACAAACAGAATCACAAAACCAAGAACGTTACGAAAATAAAATTAATAAAGTTTCGCATTCTTATCACAGATGTTGCCTTTTCACCCCACCTATATACATATATTTAACTATCCAGTTAATATCCAGGCGACGTCAATGTCCTGCAGGTGGCAGCAAGGACTGAAGGAAAGAGTACCTGCCAGAAAGACAGAGAAGGAAAAGATGCATTTCCAAACTTGTCAACACAAATCACCCTGTATACGGGCTTTACTTTCATGTAAACTCTCATGTAGAATATATCAAGATATTGAGTGCCATACGCAATTCAAACTGCATGACAACAGATTACTGGGGACGTCCTGTAAGTTTTAATACTACTCAAAGTTTTAAAAAAATAACGCTTAAGTGTTTAAAGGTGTTTCTAAAAACAACCGTAAAAATAAATATACAGAAGCAGTATTACGTTTACAAAACAAAACTACTGTGGTCTTTTTCTAGACTTAAAAAACTATGTATTCAACTGACAAACAGTCAAGTTTTAACAAAGCTTAACATGAAATGACGGCGAACGCGCTCAACCCGATGCGCAGCTCCTGCCGGATTTGCAGCGCGCATGCGTATACCACATTACACTTTGCAGTACGAATGCGCTCCACTTTCACGCATGTGTACACCAGATCAAAATAACGTCACCTACCAGTCTGTTCCGCGCATGTGCAAATATTTCACGAAAAATGACATGCGCAGTATTTGCTTTCATTTGAGGGGTGTGCTGCACTACATTGCTGGGGATGGTGTCGAAATACTGTGTTGTTCTGCAAAGCGTATACACCTCATCGCTGCATTAAGAATGTTGTGCTCTTTTCTATAAATTTAATTATCAATCAGAATAAATAGTTTTTTTTGCGCCGAAGTACTTCTACGGTTTGTTATCGTGAGGTTTCGACATTTTACACATTGTAAATTGTATTACGATGTTCCAATTACCCAACTTTGTATAGACCACAAGTTTAAATGGAAATATAAATTGTTTATAACTGTTATAACTGTATTGTGATGCAATGTTACAATGAATGTGAAAAAAGAATTAAACCGTTTTATGTGTATGTCTTTCGTCTACTTGTTCTGTAACTTGGTTTTTCTTATTCGGCTTGGTTTAGTTGAACCACCAGGTACTTTTGGATTGACTAGACAAAATTAAATCTCCTTCATTTCTTACATTACTTAATTAAGTGAGCATTTGACGAAATTTGACAAATACATGGAATGGCTAGGATTGCCCCTGAGGAGAGCTGTGAGAACTAACCATCCAGCTAGATATCAGTAACCTTTTGGAGAAAAGAGGAAACAACTGTTAGTTTTTATGGCATTGATCTTAATATGCACATATTCTGATGTTAAATTGTGTTTTTTGTCCTGGGCCAATATATATTTACTACCAAGATCAATAGCTTGAAACATTTCCTTGATTGCCTAAGACTTTTGCACAGTACTGGACATAATATTTCTTTACATTTCATAATATTACATTGTATTAATCTGAAACTATAATTCCCGTTTCATGTGACCTCATAATAAAAAGCTGAAATATCTTTTTTATGGAAAAAAAATTAATACTATCAGAGATAACTTGAAGTTTTAATTATCGTAATGCTTGATGGAAAATCTAATGTCTGAGTGAAAAAGTACTTAATGTGTTGTATGACTTTGATGTCTTCCCTTCAGTACATTGCCCTTGAGCATTTTCAGTGTGAAGTTGTATAGCTAATTGTATAGTTAACCTCAGGAAGCGTTTCTCATTTCCTGCGACCTTTATATCGCCCTCTAGCGGTAAAGTACTGTGTGTTTTTCCTCCCCGCTAGGGCAGTCCGCCTCTGTATTGCATAAAAACCACATTGTTTTTGTCTTTCTTTTCAAGTGTTATTGGTCTTATGGTAACGTTTTTCAAATGATACCCAAAGGTTCTATTGTTAGATTCTTTAGTATTTTTCTTTTCTTTTTGATTTTGATTATTGCATGTTTCTAATGTACCATGTAACGAAAGCGTTGTCTCTCATGTAAGAAGGCCGCGTCTCCTGGGACAAAACTAAATCATTTCAGATTCTCAGTCGGTAAGAATGTCATTTTTATTTTTCTAAATGGCATAATAAATGAGGAGTAAGTCTTATTATTTAGATAGGATACCTGATCCCGAATGGTCAGCGTATGGTATTAGGCACTGGCTGATAGATCGGCAACATAAAATAAATTGCATTTAAGCTTACACCCTTGGTAAATACCGAAAAATATTGGTTCATTATGTAGCATGTAAGAATCATGTTCAAGGCTGAAATGGGACTGTGACCACTTCTTAGCTTCTAGCCTAGTGAAGTTAACTCGTAGGTCTTGTGAGGTTGGTCGCTAAAATAATATTTCGTCATAATATAAAAAAATAGCTGGATGAAAAATTGTTGAAAACTAGTTTGGCAGCAAAATTGATCCATATCTCTAACGTAGTGACAAAACGGCATAGAAAGCTGTGGTCCACGGAGCTCACAGGGACGTATCTTACATTGGCGTAATGCAGGTATAATAAATATTCAGTGTGTATGTTTACGATTTATATGTTTACTTAGACGCCATAGTTCTTAGTTTGTTGTGTGATAACGCATTAGTGGTCTTTTTTTAAATGGTGGTTTAAGAAAGTACATAATAAGCCTGAAGTTTTTGTATATACGGTGGGATGATGTATGGATGATTATAGCCAACAGGACCTTAGAAACTCTAGGCTGACTGGCAGACCGTTTTTGCTGGAATGCCAATGACATAAACCACTTCACCTTTATAAATTTGATATACAGTGATATTTAGCGTGAATGGAGTTCAGAGGAAACGACGTACACCGAGAACTATGATGAGCAGAGGCTCATATTCCAGAATGACGTCCATCTGTCTTCTAACCACTTCCTGGTCAGGGTTGTGGGACAGAATGATTTGCATTTATACGTGATCCATCCATCCATCCATCAATCCATTTTCATACTAGCTAACCAGTGGAGGGTCATTGGGGGAACTCTGGGATATATCCCAAAAATTACAGAGCTCATGGCAGAGAAGAGTCTCCTGAACAGGATGGCAGTACACTGTAGGGCACGCCACACTCCCACACTCTGGGCAAATTGTAGACTGACCTTATAGTTTTGGAATGTAGAAGGAAATCTGGGTAACACATGGAAGACGTGCAGACTTCATACGTACTGCAAGGGTGCGGTTCCATTTGACAGAAAACAAATGTCAGACTTGCCCGTGAGCAGTTTATGTAAACTTAAATGTCAAGAACTGCCAAGTAATTCTAAAGTGACTCCTACACAAAAAAGTGTTTCTTTTTTTTTTTTTTTAAATTATTATAAAAATGACTACTTTATTTTTTTCCAAAAAAGATGAGACTTATCAAGGGTAAGAAATGCGATCACTCTGGGTGATAAAATAGATAAGCAGTCTATGTTGTTTTTGGTATGTTTTGTAGGATGTCAAAGATATTTTGAAGAAATTGAAAGAGAAATCAGAAACTGAAACATATGCCTTTAGAGAATCTTGAAGTCATGTTATTTAGTAATCTAAGTTACAGTTAATGACTGGTGCTCAGGTTAAGGCCAGGAGCGTGGTTGTCCCTGTATGGCTGAATTCATTTGCTTGTGCACTTTGAGCTACCAGATCACAGGATCTTACGTCAGCAGTTCTGTTTTGGCTGCTGTTTCTAATATCTGCAGGGTAGAATTTTTTCTGCTTGGCCATGTCACTTTGCAATAAAAATAGTACCTGGACAAAAAGGTTTGTTTCTAATCCAGCAACATTTGAAAATTTTAGCAGGATGTACCTATTTTTGCAAAGGATAACTGATGAATTCAAGTATAATTAGGCGTCATATACTTGTGTGTCCTTGATAAATATCAAAATTGGGGCTTTTAAACTGTTTAAACTTCACCAATATTTGACTTTCCTGATACAAATTATAATGTGTCTGCAGTAAACAACAGATCAGTACAATAGACTACAAACAGAAGTTTGTTTGTTTTAAAAAAAAAACCTGTATACCGCAATGTCGTAGGTATACAATGAATGAATTCTAGACAAGGAAAACAAATATAGTAGGTACATATTTTTGTATAAAAATGTAGCCTTCAGGGATTCAAGGGTTTTATTAGTCAGATGCAAGGTGTACAATCCAATATTAAAATGAGTGAAAAGCACTAAGAGATAAAGTAAAAGTGTAATAAAAAAGGAATAGTAAAGTTTAGTTTAGTAGTTAAATCCTGAAAATCATACTGGTTTTATTGTGTTCTAGGTCATTGTTTCTCTATTTAAAAAAAAAATAAATACACTGTGACCAAAGTAGTAAGTACATTGATTTTTTATGAGCTGTATTCCGTCTCTCTGCAGACTTGACACCCTCTGCTCCAGTAAGAGACACTGAGGTCTCTCTACACTGCTTCAGCATGGTGTGTGAGCTTTTCCTGCTCTCTTCTGTTTGGTTCCTCTTTGTCATCTTCTGGATGGAGACCATAAGCGTCTGGCTTTTCCTCTGCAACTTTTACCAGGACCGTGTCTTCTATCCTTGGGGAGATGGGTAAGAAATTACGCGGCAAAGAAAACCACGGTGAATGTTACGTCCCCAGAAAACTGAATCAGTGCTTCGTTAGTAAGACCACTTACATCCTGTATATGAAGAAGCTCTAGAAATGAAGGTACCAAATATGATTTTCTTTTTGATCAAGTGTGCGTAATTTAAAGGGAAACGGCATTCCACACTATACATCATCAGCTTGAACTAAATTTCCCTGTAAGGTTATAAAACATTCATATTCTGTTTAATCGATAAATAAAAAAAATGCATTTTAACAGTGTTGTTTTCTACTGTTGTCCAGTGTCGTTATGAAATCCTTATGTTTCATTTTGGTTTTATGTATTACGGTGCTGCTAAGTTGCTTTTCTACAACTGTACACTATATGTATTTTTACATTCATAACTGTGGCTATTGACTACATGAATGTATAAACAAACGGCAACATGCTGGCTAGACTGAACATAGAGTCTCCACATCCTTATTGAAATTGTAGGTTTTTCTGATGTGGACAAGCCTACAATTTCAATAAAGGTTCTTAGGCATTATACCCACTGTAGCATTAAACATAATTTTCATTGGGGGTGTAAGAGTTTTGCATAGTACTATGTGTATATAGTATATATCAGTATAATTTAGTTGGCGTACTATAGTTTTTCCATAGTAATTACATGGATTGTTACATAGGGAGTCATTTCTCGTATTTATTATTGTCAAAGCTTGAGTGAGGCAGGTCCCCTGATTCTGCATGTTAGTTTTATTCCTGTACTGGTATATTACATGTAGAATAGATGGAGTGACTAATGGAAAAGACGAATGGTAAATATTGCTGAACAAGTCCTGATTTATGGTCTTTTCCTTGCAGAATATTTGCTGATGACCCAAGTCACATGCTCTACATGCTAGGGAGGTAAGAACGGTTCTTATTGCAAAAAATACCCTTGAAGCTTAAAAAAAAAATCCATGCTTGTCGTTGGTAAAATGCTTGAACAATATAATAATCTAGTAACCTCAATTCTTTATTTAAAATTCATTTTACATGTTTCTTCTTTCATATCCTACCAAACTGGGCCCCTGGTTAAAAATTAAACTTATTCATTATTATTATTTTGTCTCTTCAGAGTAGAAGGCCCAAGACAAATGGAGACCTGATAAAAGATGGGGGAACGAGACGGAGGTGGCAGTGAGAGGATAAAAGGTTCAGGAGGGTCACTCGTCCATATCGGAGACACTTTTTCTGAGCCCTCAGTGATTCACTTCTCCCAGCACGCTTGTCACTTTAACAGAGGGCTGAGTGAGATAAGTGTCATAAATAATAACGCAAACACTGAAAATCCCCACGCCTGTGTCCCTCTAGAACATGGCTTTGAACACTCTTCACAAAGTGTGCTTGAGGTTTTCTGCATCTGACCCTAAGACTAACAGACCTAAGGGTTCTTATGTCACAACGAGGAACCGCAGTCCACAGTCACCGAAGATTCTCCCAAGCTGTAATCCACAGTTTCGGATGTATTCATTTCAGTGACCTGGTGCATCTGGGATAATTCCATAAATTAAACTTCTGGCTTCATAAGATGCAGAAATGTTTTCTTTACATTTAGGTTTAAAAATCATGCCAGCAAATAATGATATTTTGACCTAAGCATGTCTAAGTATATAAGATAACTTCTGTTTAGTTGAAACTTGTTGTTTCAAGTAGCGGTTACTTTTGTAACATAGCAGTTCATTCATATGTAAACAAACAGTTGGTTGGTTGTTTCCCGTTAGGAACCAGGCCAGCCAGTTAGTTTGTAGTAATGTTCTGTGGGCTTGAATCATGCAGGAAATTTTGTTGTTTGTGTAAAACTCTCCTGTTGCTCTGCTTGCACACTTATTCTGAGTGCCAATCTTCTGCTCTCATGCCAAGCCAGTATATTCCAGCTCTCAAAATTTTCTTTGAAAAATGGATCAAATTTGCTGGACGTGGATTGAGATTATATTATCATGTCTAAATTTGCTGTTTGTGTGTGTGTCCCACTTCTGAAATGGATTTTCTGCAAATGGTGGTAATACAGTCATACAACCAAAAGCGAGTATCCCGACTGATTCCTGTGACTGCGCACCTTGTCATTTTTCTTTGCGGGGATGACTGCTTGCACCTCTGAAGTGAATACTCTGAATGCCTCTTACTTTGATTTTTCGGCGTTTTGCTCATGTAAGGCTATGTCTACTTACTCACTGGAAATGTATAGACACCAGCGGGTTAAAATTATGCACTTAGCCTGGAGTACGGTGTTACCACTCGTGCTGCTCCATATGAGGAGAGCACATACTTGCATACTCAGGCTGCCACATTCTTAGGAGATCCTGAGGCCTCCGTCATCGTGGCTTTCAGCAATTTTGCTGTCATAAACTGCTGCGGCAACATGTTGTGTATCGACAGGGAAACAAGTGAAATGGGTTAATTAGAGATTCCAATTTGGGTAAAAACTGGAAAAACAAAAGCAAAACGGACACAGTACAAGCTTTTATTTTTACATTTTTATTGCAGTGACCCTTTAAGGTGATTCTTTCTGGAGACATAGTTGTCACATTATCAAGACATACCAAGATACAATCAGATTTACAACAGAATAATAGATTTTTAGAATCCATGTGTAAACGGCCCGGAGGTGATATCGGAGACCATTGAAGTGGTTGTACAAGCAGTGAAGACAGCAGGAAGATAATGCCTTGTGAGGTGCGGATCTTCATCCTTATCAGTACTGCACGATAAAGACCCTTCCAAAGACAGGATAAGCAGGTATGATCACTGAGCTGGATGCGACCCGCAAGATGGGGAGGGTCTGAGAAAATGTTGTGGCTGTGCTGCTTTATGTGAAGACCAGGCAGTTCATATATATAAGCACAGAATTGTATCGTGTAACCCATCAATTGCATTTGTTAGGGGCTGATCAATTGCCCTTATATACAAATATCTGAAGTACAAATTCCGCTCCATATAAAATTCTTATTTTCCTGAGTTTCAAAAGAAGTAAACATGACAACATAAATTAAAATTAATAATCATTATGGTATAAAATGATACATGCAAATTATGACTAGGTGCTCCAGTACAGTGTCTTCTCATCCATATAAACACCCCATTACTAACCATCAAAACTCAAACTAACCTTTAAAACACAACAAACTAATAAGCCCAACAGAGCCCTACCATCCTTGCATCACAGACGTGTCCCTCCTAAATTCACCCAGTTCATTCTATTTAAATAACTTCAACAATATGAAATTTGGCCATATATTGGTGGGGCTGCATACCGAAAACCTGCTGTTCCTATATGCATTCCTATATGTCATCAAGCACATCGTCAGAAGCAGACAAGGGCTGGTGCCCTGGATAAAAGGAGCTGTAGCCAGGTGGTCGTCTTTGAAGGGTGGCAGGAATAACTATGGGTGAGCTCTCAGTGGGTTAAAGGCAGGAGCCACTGAGAAATTGGCTAAAGATCTTATATTACCAATTACAGTCCGTGGGATTAGTTTCTTTTGGCATGGCTGGGCCCCTTATCATCCTGATCAACTGAGCAACTGGCTTTCACATCTGATCCTTGTTTCAATTAGCTTATCTTGGTCAAAAATTGAAGTTGAAAAGTCTTGTTTTCCATCCTTGGTCCTGGTGGTAGAATATCTGAACAGGAAACTCTCCTCCTTCTCGTCACTTTTGTTTTACAAAAAGCTTAAAATTAGTAGTAAGAAACTAAGTTAAATCTTAAAAAATGTAAACATACTTTCATTTCCATTACTGTCACAAATGATATTTTACATTTTTTTTCCCCCAGTTTTAAATTATACCCACAGAACCCTGTTTCTGTGGGTATAATTTTCTTACAGAACCCTATAAGAATTTGGTGCCACTTTACAATAAGGCTACCCTTATAAAGGGTTTATGAATGGTTTATAATCTGGTTATTAATTAGGTTGTACCACTTTGTAAATTATTAAGCCAATTTTAAACAAGTTAGTTTTCTTTTTATTAATGATTTACTACCACTTAGTAAAGAGTGGAAAGAGGGAGCCTTATTGTAGAGTGGTAACAAATTCTTCTACTGACTATTCGTCTATCTGCAAAATAATGTTTACAGATGTGTACTAGGAAATCTTTACCTCTGAAGGATTCACAATGGACATACGCCACAAGATACACTGCACCAGACATTACATAGTAGAAAACAAATGAAGACAGGGTTACATTAACTATCAGGATGAACCTGAGCTTTGGGAAGGTGGCAAAGGCTTATGCTGACCTTTCCTTCAGCAACACTCCTCTTGTAGTAAGAGATAATGGATAATACTTCTAGATGCCAAGGTTAAACTTTATTATTTATTACACAATTAAAATGTGATATTCAAATTTCATAATTTAGCAACCAAAATATACAAAACCAGAACAAATTTATGCGTTTTTATTTCGAGACAAAAAAAAAATGTTTTTACAGGAGTCCTTGTGTTTGGCTTTTGCCTGCAATCTTCTTAGAGCATTCAAGGAGGGCGTTGTGGATGTCTTTGGCACAGGATATCTGGGACTTGATCATACTGAGGTACTGAGAGTACGACAGGCTTTCAGTCTGTACTGTGTCAGGCTTGGTTGCAGTAGGGACGAGGTTTGGAGAATGCTTGGCACTGTCGATGCTCTGAGACAGGCACTCGTACGCGAGCCGCTGGAGGGAAAATAACATCAGAGAGAAAAACTCAGCATAATTAAACAATGCTGGAGCACTGAGCATGAAAACATAAATGGAAATGCAGCATTTGGATCTTAGTATTTAATGTTTCCCAGCACAGTCAAATTTCTTTTCTTTTTTCTGTGGGTTACTATGCATTTCTTATGTTTATATCCATATTATACCAACAACTTTAACAGCTTTTATGTGACTTTATTTATAAAGCCAACTATAAAACAGCTATAATACTATAATAGGCAACTAAATAAATAAAAATATAGATTATACAGTCCAACTTACCAGACACAGCTCCAATTGGTCACAGAGGGCATAGAACTCTTCCAGGCTCTTGTCAAATCGCTGCACGGCAGTATCACTACTCTTGCTGGAATAAGACATTCTGAATATCAATGATGGTATCAATGACACCAGTTATTACCTATAAGAATGCTACAAGTTGAACATTGTGCTGTACTTACATGCCATTGTCAATTGCTGTATTGTGTGCAAAATTCAGTGATGCTATGCTCATAACATTCTACAAAGAAGAAAAATATATATTAGAATTTCAACTTAATATCACTTTATAAATCTGACGACCTATGAAATTAAGACCCATTTGTTTAACAGAGTCTTGCACACAACTTTTGGATTGAGGTTTCAAATTCCGGCTCCACTCTCAGTGAGAAGAGTCTGCATGTTCTCATGTGAAATACAGCGTTCCCTCTCAAAATACAAGCAACCAGGCTAAATCGTGCCTCGAAGATGGCCATAGTGAGCACATGTTCCATCAAACCCTCTATGGCCAGCAAGCCAATGCCACCTGGTCATTCCTCCATAACCCATTTGCTTCCTCAGTGGTGAAACAACATCTTACTTAGCAACAATGGGTTCTCTATTCGTATGTAATAAACTTGTCTAGTAGGAACCAAGTCCTCATGATGTTTTGATTTGCTTCTCTCAAGGTTCAAGGTTACTTTGTCATCAGCAGCTTCATACATGTACAAATAGTGATGAAACAACGTTTCTCCATGGCCCCGATGCAACATATAGTAACAGTGCACTTAACATTATAGTAACAGGGCGTGCAAGGTGCAAACAAGCAGTAAATAAATAGTGCAGAGATAAGAAGTAAGTAGTGCAGAGATAATAATAAGTGCAGAGGCTAGGCTTTGGCAGGGTTTCATATAGATCTCTTTCCAAAACTAACTTACACTTGTTACTGGTCACACAGTGAAAGCTCAGCTAGCAGCACCTGAGTGGCAGCTGGCTCTCTTATGTACTTTCTGCTTCAATTGTACAACACTTTGGACAAATTAAACTGCTAAGTAATGTCATTGTAAAATGCATGTATGTGATCCAGAACGTACCCCTGGCTTGTGCCCTATGCTGCCTGGGACAGGCGCCATTGAATCATGTCTGATATATTAAAAGGAGAGACTGACCAATGGCACTTAAGCCCAAAAAGGTCATATATACTTTGAAATGTATACTAATACTGATAGCAGTTTCCCCTATTGTAAAATAATGGAGAAATAGAACATAAGACCTTTCAGAACTGTTTCCCTCCAACAGTTACACGAAGTTATAGCAGGTCTTAAAGATTTTTCTCAATAAATTTAGCCACTTAACCATATTAGCCCAAATTTTGGATTTTCTCTATATTCAATGGAGATTAGAAATTAGTACTGCAGTAGTTAAGGTGAAAAGCACAATAACTGGCCAAGCCGATCGATATCTTGTAAGGCTACCTTGAATTCGATTTCAAAGATCTACAAACAACTTTTTACCTGAAGACTTTCTTTTAATTGTGGTATAAGCATTTTGAAACGGTGAACGGGGTCAAAGTCTTGCTGTTGGTTGAGCTGTTGGTGCTGCTGCTGCTGTTGTTGCTGTTGTTGCTGCTGCTGTTGTTGTTGTTGTTGTTGCTGCTGCTGCTGCAATGTTGTCCCGGGTTGGACTCCAACGGGCTGATTCATTTGTTGCGATGCCATACTGCTCGGCTTTCACTTCCTCAGTATTGTTTTAGGCACGCAACCTCTTTCCCACCTTCAAGCACAACTAACGAAGTAACAAAACGCAAAATAGAACAAGCAAAAAAAAAAAAAAAAAAGTCTGAGAAATAATAAAATGTACAAGCCGCAAAACAGCCAACTGCTCTACTTCTAAAAGCTGATCCAAAGAAATGGCGCATTTGCTTTGCGTGTATTGTTGCTACCAACAATTATTTCCGGTGTCATACTTTGTTAAATAAAAGTCTCAATAATACTAATGTAATTAATATTTTAATTGTTTACAGTCAATACATAAAAGCATCGTACACAATATTTCATCAGAAATTATGTATTTTATATATATATTGTACACAATTTATATAATGTTTACGAACATTTAGGGTGCAAGCAATATTAGGACTTTTATATTGGAAACTTTTAACCGGAAGTTTCATGGTTTTGGCTGCCTAACGGAAGTAGTTTCTGTTCATCGTAAAATATTGTAAACGTTTCAAATTCCTCATCACCTGCGAAGTATAATCATCTATGTGGGCAGGTAAATCGTTTAAAAGGTAGTTGCACCTCGTTATCTCGAGGCATAACAAGACAACGTTTAGGGGACAGCCAGACGATACTGCTGTTATTTTCTTTAACAAGAAACCTAAGCACCATATTGTTCAAAACAAACTGTACCGGGTATAACCAATTGGTGTGATGAACGTTAACGTGTAATGATGCACGTTTTACATGTGCATGTGTGACACAATTAACAACTAGGTTATTCAAGAGTTAATAATACCAGTGTATGATTGGTCTGATCTCTGATAACAATGAAGCAGACTGCAGGGACGAAGTACAGAACCAGGGCTGCTGCTAAGATAACAGTCTTACTCTTAAAACAAGTTAAACAGAAGAACTAATCATGGACTTCCAGCGATGCAATAATAATCACACATCTCTGTTTATAGAAAGAGACTATGTGGAGAGAGTGCCCAGTTTAATATTCCTAGGCATCTACGTTTCAAGTGATCTCAAGTGGACCGTCGGTTCTAAGTTAAAGCACAGTAGTCCCTATACTTCCTGCGATCCCTCAGAAAGGCCAGTATGATAGTATGGACAGATTACTGGTAAACTTTTACTGCAGCACCACTAAAAGCCTATATAGTTACACTGCATGCCTGTGTGATTTACCAGTTGCTCTGCTGCTGACAGGAAATCACTAAAGCACGTCACCAACACTGTACAAAAAATCATTGTACCTTAGCTCCCCTCCCTAGAAAACATCCGACACATTGCCTTCGCAGAGCAACCAGCAATGTCAAAGACCACACACGCCCCTATAAAAACTACTTACCCTTTTGCTATCAGGCAAATGGCACAGAACTATCCAGGCCCACATCTCAAGAATAAGGAACTGTCTGAGAGCTGTTGCCTTGCTGAACCCGCAAGAATCAATCTTGTTTCTTCTGCTGGCTGTGTCATACTTCATACTGCCATGTTTTTTTGTACTATTATCTTTTGCACTACCGTCACTTTATCTCCTCCGTTGTTACTGCTGGCTGATTTTTCTTTATTTTTCACAATAAAAGTAATCCATTCTAATATCATGTATTAATACAGCTGATAAATATCCCAAACAGATTTTTTTAGGTATGGATAATTAATTTTGAATGTGGAATACCAAATACAAACACAACTTACATAGTTACTAATTAAGTAATGTAAGCATGATAATACAATACGTAGGTTTTTTCCCACAAGAGTATTTAGTTTCAGGCTAAATAGAATCTCTAAAATGTCCTACACTGTCCCATCCCTCATTGCACTACTGTTTGCCCAGTCTTCTATGCTATAGCCTGCAACTGTAGCGCTAGAATTTCCTTGAAACACATGTGAGATAAAACTTTAAAATCGACGTGCGTACATTGTGCCCTGCGATGGAGCTGCATTGTCTATGGTTTTTCCCTACATGGTGCCGCCAGGGACAGGCCGCCACGCCACGCGCATTGGGACACGGATGATGAGAAACATGAGTGTTTTGTAATAACTGCTCATTTCAAATATTCACATGAAATATACAATTTATAACACTGACGCCTATAAAAATAGTTTCGTAAACTTTGATTTCGTGAAGTCTTTATTCTTTAGTTATTTTTAATCGGCTGACTTTCTTGTTAGATGAAACACTGGCAATTTTCCCCGCACTTTTTCTTGTGGATTAGCATGTTATACAGCATGGGGTCACTAAACAAGGACCACATCAGTCGCCCGCGGACCTGTTCTAAAAGTAGCACAACTCACCAGTGAGCAGCGTCTAAAATTTAATTTTATCCTGTTATTGTTCTTCTTTAATCACATTTGCATTTATATAGATTTGAAAATGACAATTAAAAAGCATTTAAAACACGTTTATTATACATGAAGTTTAGATAAGTTTAGGAGGGCGTTTCAAACTGGTAGCCCTTTGTATGGCTCAGTACCCGTGAAGTAGCTCCCAGTTTCAAAAAGGTTGGTGACCCCTGCTATACAGTGAACCCCCGCCTATCACGGAAGATGCGTTCCAGACCCATCAGCGATAGGTGAAAATCCGCGATATAGAAAGACCATATAAATAAAAATATATATATATAGTTTAAGCCTTAAAATACCCTTTCCACACGCTTTAAAAGAGATAGCTAGGTGAAAATCCACGATATAGTGAGGGCGCAATAGCTGAACCGGGATATAGCGGGGGATCACTGTATTATTATATTTTGACTAGCAAGAAATTCAAGTAGGTACGTAGATACGGTTACTCAGTTTTACGATCCCCAGTCTAGGGTTGGGGATCGTCAGAAAAATAAATAGGGAAAGGACAAGGGAATGACAAGACAAAACGGGGACGGAAAAGGGAACACGATACACAAATTACGTAACAGTTAAGTATGCAAAACATGGAAAAACGAATAAGACATAAAACAGGAAACGCTATCTCACAACATTAAACTAGGTTCCTAGATAAATACTCAAAGACCAAACTTCTACTTAAACATCTAATAGGATTTAACATAAATACAAAATTCTGAACCATCTGATAAGTATGGGTTTCCCGACGCAAACAGGTTCAGCAGGCTGACACCGGAGGCTTCCTGGCAGGTTGCTGGGTGTGGCAGGTTGCTTGGGCGTAACACATTTTTTTCCGTAATAGTTGCCCTTTAAACTTCGGGCTTGCTTTTCAAATGACACAAAGCAGTGAAAGGAGGAAGTTCTATTCAAAGGAAACCCAAGATGGATTTTGATTTGTCTTCAGGTATTATTTTATTTTACATCAGACGGCAAAGTAGAACGACTTGCATTTAATTGATTTATTTGACTCATGCTTAAGTATGGATTTAAAATTTATAATTATGCAGCAGAGATTTTAAATGCTCATAAAATAGATTCCAAGCACCGAATTTACTTGTATCTTATTTACAATTAAAAGTAAATTCTGCATTAATTAAAACGATTTAAAAGTGAAGTTGGGAATTTAAAACACACGAGCAGAAAATTTTTGATTAAACAAATCTTCAGACCTAGTTATTAGGGGAAACATTAACCGAAGACTTTTAGTTTTAAATATTTAAGCTAAGTGATATTTTGCCAATGCTTTTTAAAAATATTATCCCCTATGGAAATTTACACCTGTAGTTCCTGTTTTATAGGTAACTGGTTGGACGCATTTAGCAATTAACACTTCGGCAAAGCTCCGGCAGTTCTTGTTTATATATTAAACATAATGTCTGTTACATGTACGCCACAGCTGTGTCTAAAGATGAACAGGTTACACGTGAGACTGGCCAAGAAGTAAATGCATTTTTTGGAATTGGGAAAAAAGACAAAGAAAAGACTAAGGTAGGTGTAACCATATATATGTCGTGCATTATTGGCAGGCTGGGCTTGATTTTGAATAAAATAAGAAACTAACCTGTATATTGTGTAATTTATGAAGAAACTGACCTGTTTCGTTTGTGAAATCAAGGACCATAGCAAAGAACACAAGAAATGTGAGAAAAAGGAGAGTGGTGAATGCCATAAGAAGAAAAAAGACAAGAAACATAAGAAAGATGGACATGAGTCTGATTCTTCCTCATCATCCTCCAGTGACGGAGGAAAGGTAGGTCTACTGTGTTCTAGCTCAGTGACGGAGGAAAGGTAGGCCTACTGTATTCTAGCTCAGTGATGGAGGAAAGGTAGGCCTACTGTGTTCTAGCTCAGAGATGGAGGAAAGGTATGCCTACTGTGTTCTAGCTCAGTGATGGAGGAAAGGTAGGGCTACTGTGTTCTAGCTCTGTGCAGAAAGAGCGCTGCCTAGGCACACATAAAACACTCAGTCTGTCTTCAGATTATGTCCCTCTGTTTGTTGTATTTGGAATCTCGGGTTGGATTTGATTTCCAGGATTTAGAGGTGTGAGGCAGCTGCCTATTTGTATTTTCATGCTCTTATTAATAATTATTTCCTATTCTTGTTTTAGGGGAAGAAAGAAAAGAAACACAAGAACAAACACTAGTAACTGTACTAGTAAGAGTAACTGAGCAGAGAAGATTCTCTAAATTCTATTCATATGTTAGTCATCGCTGTGTCTTACCATTTGTACTGTAAACTACTGTTGCCCGGTAGGGACTTTGTTGAAAACTTCTGTCTGATCAGGTGATTATAATTTTGATTTCTGCTTACAGCCACCAGCATAGAATATATACACGTCTCTACTAATCATTCCACCATCTATGAGAATAGAGAGTTCTGTTAGAGACAGACATGGAGCTTTCTGGAAGGATCCACACAAAGGAAATCACAGGGCACCACTTCTGGTAATTGGGACTGACAGAGTAATTGAAGAGAAGTTATATTTGAAGACTATGTACCTACATTGTTGATTCCCTGTTGCCAGTGTAGACTGTATGCTGTCTGTCAATGAAGAATAAAGCCAGCAGTTGTAATGACTACGAAAGCTTTAGTCTTCATCAGTGCAATTTACTTATTTTTCTTTGTATTACTACTTTCACTATTTTCAGTTTTAGACTGAATTGGTGCAATAAACAAGTCAAAGGAACTTTCTTGGTTTGGATGACTAGGAAATAAGTTAGTTGCCTGTCCGATTATACAATATATATGGAGGACAGAAGACATATCAACCAATATCACCCCATTTACCCTGGTGAAGGTCGCAGTTATCACATATTCAAATATTGCTATTTCCCTCCTTGCTTCAAAAAAAATATTCTTACTTATTTTACATGGGGGAGAGTGTTTTTCAAGTGTGTAAATTTGGGTATGAACAGTAGGGACATGTCCCTACCAATACTGTGGGAGGGGGGTTGGGGGCTGATTTGGTCCCTGCCAATGTTAAAACCAAATCGATGCCCTTCTGGTTCCCTCCCCCCCAATTTTGCACGAAGTCCTACAGTCAACAACAGATCTGGCTAGTATGGTTATTTTAAAATTAATCTCTAAAGTGAAATTTATTTTGGTTCCTGGACTTATTCACTTAGTTCAAGAGTAAAGTTGATAGCAGTTTTATTAATTGAAGAATATTATATTAACAGTATAGTGATTTTTTTTGTTTGTTTTGTTTTTATTACTGTTTTTTCTAATATGGGTGTCTGAGGGGAATGGATACCCTGGTATATCGACGGGGGCCCTTGAATATCTAAAAATGTACATAAAATTGGGACAGGGTGAGTAAAGTGGCATTTTGTCAGAGCCCCCAGAATTTCTAGGTATTGCCCCTGTCTGTTTGTAAAGACCAAACCAACTGACATCGAATTACTGTAATGGTAAAGATGCTCAGAGGTGTGTAGACAGGATACAGCAATTTACATTTTGGTGACACACTTGACATGAGGGGATAACGAGGCAGAAATTAACTAAACACAAGCAAACCAGAAATAATTAGACTGACCAGGAATAGAATAAAAATGCATTAAAACACAGAAAGTGAGTCGCTCGATGTATCTCAAACGAATCCATTCCAAATAACATGTAACATTTGTTTTGGAAAGACCAAGCATAATAATACTCTAACATGCTCCATACATTTGTGCTAGAAGTAGTGGTAATACTGTAGTACTAGCATCAGTAGCAGTAGGAATGTAGCACTTTATTTTTGTACAAGAAAAATTAAGTAATGTGTCCTGTATTCAAATAAGCTGCTGTCATAATTTACCCATAGTCGGCCTACATAGGCCTATACAGAATTTTTCTAGTTGTGCAATATTGCACATTATTCACCTAAGCATTTATATAACGTGAGAGAATATTGTTTCCAGAAGAGGGCAGAGTTTCCCAATTTTCTATTCAGCGTCACGAGTTGCCGAGCAACAGGCCCGACACAGTATTACAAATGGGACGCTAAACCCAAGCGTGCAGGCTAATGAAAATCCCCAAGCGGAGAAAGACGGACACGGCACAGCGAGCAATGCCGCCACGGCCAATGGCCTGTAAAGTAACTTCAGCTTTTCGGCATAGATTATTAGAGGAAGCGTCAACGTAAATAAAAGAAAAAGAAGAATGTCGAAAAAAACTGCCGTTAAAATGTCCAACAAACAAATGTTAAGGACTCCCGATAATTAAGTTTTATTACTAAGTGAAGCAAGTGTGGTACTCTTTCTTTTCTGTCAGTACAATTCGGTAGTTTTAAGTGGATATTAACTGTAGTAACTATCAACTCGTGGATTTAAGTACAACTGATTAATATAAATATATACTGTTGTCCTTCTAAAACGGCTTTCCGCGCTAAGAATGATGAAATTCCTCAGCTCTGATTTATGGATTCCTTGGGTAGTACTGCTTTGTATGGAAGGTAAGTCTATTTCAATTTGTCAGCAAAGGCTTTTAAAGAGCTGTTTCAGCTTAATAGTTTATCAGTAATTTTTTTTTGGCTTATCGTGTTTTGTAAATATCACACTTGATGACAAGTCATAAATGCATTCTTTATTTGCATTTAAGATGCAAAAGGTCAACGCGAGGAATACTATGAAAGAATACAAATAATTAGTCTTTGTGTTACGTTTGGTTTACGTTGTTTGTGAGAGTTTGTGGTTTAAATGTTTCCTTATATTAATTTATCTCTCTAAAACAACCACATCCCATGCAATAAGCAGTTTAGTAGGCCTGCTTAGGCATTGCAGATATTCTAAAAAAAAATACAAAAAATTTTGACTGTCAGTATTTACTCATGCATCATTGCTTTCATAATTTGGAAAATGTAAATAGAATGCAGAATAATTTTTTAGTTACTATTGATATGACACAATACATTAAGTTAAAATGAGTAATATTACAAACAAGGTCCAGATTGTGAGATTCTGCCTTCAAGTAGCCTAATGTCCCCTGATTGGAGCGGATTTTCTCGTCATGTGAGGAAGTGGCTGGTGCTGGCGTGCTAATCTGTTTAAAAGATAAAAAAAAAACTCGTGAAAAATAAAAGAAACATAATGTGTAGAAAAATGACATCCATCCATCCATTTTTTGTACCCGAGTGTCCTGTTCAGGGTCGCAGGGATCCTATCCTGGAAGTTATACAACGTGAAAATGACGTTCTGCCGAATTTGTTAGCTATTTAAATACAGAACATATTAAATTGCAATGATAACAAAAAGCTTATGTACTCTTTTATTGTGAAATTAAACTATATTGCTCTTAATCTTACGATATCGCTCCTTTTTGCACGTCACTGGTTTATGCTCTGCATTTTACTGGCATGAATTTTGTTCACCTGAAAAATGCCTGTTGATGCCTATTGGAACTATTTCTCCATTAACATATTTCAATATAGCCTGCATGTTGTTCAATGTTGTAATGTATTTAAACTGATTTGGCAGAAGAAATTATAGTTAGGTTTGGTCCTTATCTTGTATTTATTCCAGGCCGATTAATTTGACAGTAATACTTTATGGATTTGTTGACTCAAGCCAGCATAATCAATGGCATAAAATAACCTGATATAAATAATAATCGTGGGTGTCACAGCCAGTTGCATTTTCCATATATTTCCATAATTTAAGTGTGTCTGTTCACATTCAGGAGTAGGCCACCACAGAATGTTTTTGTAGGCCTATGTAGCGTATTGACTTGTACTGGCATCTGTCTGAGATGTTTCTCAAGGGTGGGGGGGGGGGACGACAAGGGTTCTGCTAGAGATTCTGGGACCCATGGAAGCATATCAAGCCCCCATCACTCGGAGGCCCTTGAAATCATTCTACCCCCCGCCCACCCGACTCCACCCCACCCCACCATGGCACCCCTGGACAAGGCAGCCAGGCAAATGAAACCTAACAAACCCAACAGCATAGCAAAAGGACCCCACACCCCAAGCAAACCTATGACCGCACACTCCTTGTGAACTGTGCACCTCATTCGCCCAAATTCCTTCTTTATTTCATGCAGCTAAGCTTGTTTAAACCCTAATGAAGCAAGCAGCAGCATTACCCACGGCCAGCTGGGTCAGGCTCATTACCCAAGCTGCTTTCTGGCCTGCAGCTGGAAATCATGGAAGTGGAGGTCACTGGTTATACAAAATTGCTTGAACTGCAAACAATAGGTTTATAAAAGGGGAAATTTGGTGGTGAATAAAGGAAAAGAATTAGTCTCTTGAAACTAGTGAAGAATCATGACAGACATCATTTTCAACACTAGTGTATATATATATATATATATATATATATGTGTGTGTGTGTTTGAATGTATTAATCAGCAAAGGTGAAAAAAATCTGTGATGAGCTGCAATGGAATGTACTTTGGTTACCCTTATGTGTTATAATATAACATATATTTGTATTTATTTAATGACAAAATAATATATTGTTTCTAACTAATGTTATGATTTTGAATATATTTCAGTTTTTGTAACACAATATTTTTAGAAAATTTTGTGGATAATTATTATGAGTTTGTTTAGAAAATGTCCCCATCTGAACAAGTGCATGAATCTTATTGAACGGGGTGTTTGGTGAGGTTTATCTGCAAGCAATAACAGCCAAAATATACAGTGATCTTGGAGAAGCAATATTTCCATAAAGTGAATAATTCTGGCATGAAGTCTATAGAAAAGGCATTGACAAAAACAAGGACAAAAACAATAGAGTGGAAACTAATTTACTGTGTACTCCTAAAAATGAGCAGCTGGAATATGTTTGGCATGGAAGTTTCCACCTCGATTATCACAATTTAAAAATAGCCTCTAAAAATTTAAAGACCTTTGGGACTGCCTGCAAAAAGACACAGAGGGAGGGAAGGAAGAACGTGTTGGAATGAAACTGTGCACATCATTTTCATACTGTTAATTATGGAGTAGAATGTGGGTGGGGCATAGGTTGGCAGGGTGACTAGGTGGGTAGCATAGGTTGGCATGGTGACTAGGTGGGTAGCATAGGTTGGCATGGTGACTAGGTGGAGCATAAGTTGGCATGGCGACTAGGTGGGTAGCATAGGTTGGCATGGCGACTAGGTGGGTAGCATAGGTTGGCATGGCGACTAGGTGGGTAGCATAGGTTGGCATGGCGACTAGTTGGGTAGCATAGGTTGGCATGGCGACTGGGTGGGTAGCATAGGTTGGCATGGCGACTGGGTGGGTAGCATAGGTAGCACTGTAGCTTCATACTCCCAGGCTTGTGGGATCAAAGCAAAAAATTGTGCCTCCAGCTGTGTAAGTCTCTCCATGTTTGTGTGACATCCCCCCCACAGTCTGAAAACATGCCACTGGGTGATCTCCTGCCAGTAGCTTGCCCATGATGCGTGTATGTACCAGAACTCTCCAATGGACTACATTCTTTCACTGTGTTATTACCAGGTTTAATGTTGTGTCATCAGTGAATCTATTTCCAATTTACTTTTCTAATTGTCTTCATTTTATATATTAAGTTCAAATTTTTCTGTGAATCACTGAGCATTTGTGGCTCTTAGCTCACCATAGAGACAGGATGATTGCAAGGACCCCTGAGTGACAGGGGCCATAAAAAATGGGTTTGGGTTGGGGGCCCAATGTGATATGTGTTATGGGGCCCAAAGTGGCACCTCTCAGCAGAATATGACTAACTGAAGATTTTTGATACACTAAACACTGAGAGATGGTGACCTTGTCAGCACAATTTTAGTTGATACCTACATTTTTAAAGCCTTGCAGTTCCATGGAACCATAGTTGGGGTTAGTTTGTGAAATGGTTGTTTCAGGAAGTAATGTGTGATACCAGGCAGCTAAAAAACACTGGAATCATAGCCCAGAGTACAAAACCCCTAAAAGAACGTGGGACCTTCAGGCTTCTCTGCTTCAGATGAGGTCAATGTTCATGACTCCAACATAATAAATATATTAATCATAAACAATTCAGGAGAATTTTTCTATGGATAGATGTGTCCAAAATGCAGCTTTTGGCTAACATGGGCTCTGTTGTGATATTTATATACTATGCTATACTATAATAATTTTTAGAATTTGGTGATCAGTGGTCATTGTTAATACACAGTGCGCAACAACGAAATGTGTCCTCTGCATTTAACCCATATGTGACTTTCGTGACATAGCAGCGGGCAGCTAATTCAGCACCCGGGGAGCAGTGCTTGGGGGCGGTACCTTGCTCAGGGTACTTCAGTGGTGCCTTGCTTGTCAGGGAATCTGCAATCTTTCGATTACAAGTGCGCTTCCCTAACCATCAAGCCACCACTGCCCACTAACTGTAATTCCCATACCGGGAGTCGAACCCGGGCCACCTGGGTGAAAACCAGGAATCCTAACCGCTAGACATTTTACGAAAATGTAATTCTTTTAAACTTTCTACCATTCATTTTTGGTTCATTGGGGAACTAATACTAGGCATCGGTTCGACCTGTTTCACACAAACAACATACGGTATTGTGAGACCTGTCATTTCTTGAATGGTCATGTTTGTCCAAGTCAGATGACCCAATGAGCAGGCAGATCACTTGAGTGTTTGCTTCTGTTTTGTGTAGAAGGTTTGCAAAATAGTGCCCAGTGAGGTTTGTTGCGGTGCTTCTAATAATCATGAAAACTGAGTAGGAGATGGTACCTGCATCTAAATAATAGACTTGCACAGCTGAAAGAAAATATTATTACACACATTATTTACGCAGTGTGTACAATGTATGCATACAGTAGACTTCAGTGACCTATAAAAATAAGCACAATGAATTCTCTTTAACATCACTTGTATGCAAACAATCTGTTGTGTTAAATTAAATTAGTCAAATGTCTTATAAAGCAAATGGTCATCATTTTTGCGCCATATCATTAGACGCAAAAGCCAAAAGGACAAAGTAAGACTCTTCAACCATTTCCTAAATCAGTGCAGATCAGTTTGAAAAAAAATATTTTGTGCCAGGGCTGGTATCCCTGGCAATGTAGCTTAGAGAGTGTCAGACACTGGAGCCTTTGATTCAGCTGGCTCATTTCCATTTGAATACATCACGACTTCCAATTTGCCTGCTACTATGGCTTGAGAACAAGCATCTCTCTGTTCCCCTATGAAGAGCCTGGTCAAGCTCTGTATGCCCGCCTTTGTCATCGTCAGATTAAAAAAAATGTTTTAGTGCTTAAAAGTTCACTGTGTGGACCTGAATCGGTTTTAAGGTCCACTGGAACTGTGGATGTGATAGGCCAAGAATTTGGTGAAATAATCATTTAATCGTTTCGTTTTTTTCCTGCAGGTAAAAGCCGTAGGTTCCCTTCAGTGATATATTCAGGCATATAGTTACATAAACAGACTCCTCACAATCAATTTGTATGACCTAAGGCCCAGTATTGCGGTTGGTCTCCCTTGCCAGCTTTTTATTGCTTTGAACTAGCAT